AATTTGTTTTTGGACCTTGTCTGGAAAAAAAAAAGAGCATCATTAGAAGAATCAGCCCAAATATGACAAGTATTCCATGTAGAGACAAATAAAAAATTTATAGAGGTAGAGAATGGAATCAGGAGAGAAAAAATGGCGAGCACAATATAGATAAGCAACCTTAGCAGATGCTAATTTAGCAATCGATTGTATATATGGTTTCTATGAAAGGTCAATACTAAATTATAATCCAAAAAGTCGTAAGGAAGAGGACTCAGTCGTATAAATTATATATACATTATATATATATATATATATATATACATTATATATATATATATATACATTATATATATATATACATTATATATATATATATATATATATATATATATATATATATATATATATATATATATATATATATATATATATATATATATATATATATATATATATATATATATATATATGTATATATATATATATATGTATATATATATAAAGACTTTTAATTGTTAAATAAAAAATTTCAATTTCAATTATTTAGTTTATTATTTTTAATTAACTACCTAAGCACATTAATAACATAAGTACTCTATCATGACATGTGCGCAACAAATTTCTCCCGGAGTTTGGATGTTTTTAGAAATTTTAATCTTTTTTATATATTCTCTCTCATTCGTTTGTTATAGTATATAATATCTTTACATATGTTAATTTGTAAAATATCTATAGAACATCAAAAATGTATAATTTTGTATTTTTAAAAAATCAAAAGAGACAAAAAAAAAATGTACAAGCGTAACCATGGGGATTTACAACGCTAAAGTTAATCACTTTAGCCAATAAGGCGTATCGTTCGATAAATGTTTAAGCACTATTTAATAACAAAAGACTTTATAAAACTGCAAATAAATGCAAAAATCAAAATAAAGGAGATATTGCCGCATCGCAATTTTCAAATAAAAGTAAAACTGTAAAACTTGATATATGTTTTAACATTACATAATTTGAAATGTATATAAGTTAAATATTTGCATACACTTTCGTTTACATTTTCTTTTAAAAAAATTGCTGCGATTTATTGTTGCCATTACCTCGGTTGCAATAGCTGCGCGTACAAATGAGTAACGACAGCAACTTAAATTTCAGTATCAAAATATTATAAGATGGGATCGTTTAGATGCGCTTGTAGCGAATAATAAATTTGTAACCTGAAATATAGAAAAATTTTAAATTGCGAAATTAGATGGGCTTCACAATTTGAAAATAAAGATATGGAAACGGACGACAACACCTGTTTTAATAAAAGGTTGACATTAAAAAGGCAAAAAATAATATAACTAAAAAATTGCTAGATTTCATGCTCAAAAAAATATGCAAGTGTATCAAATATGCTAATCTTGTAAATCGCAAATCATTCAGTTTGTTAAAAGCTTAAATCAAAATTATAAATTACCTCAACGACAAACAATGTTATATGCTAAAAAAGTTAGCATATATATATACATATATATATATATATATATATATATATATATATATATATATATATATATATATATATATATATATATATATATATATATATATACATATATATATATATATATATATATATATATATATATATATATATATATATATATATATATATATATATATATATATATATATATATATATATATATATATATATATATATATATATATATATATATATATATATATATATATATATATAGATACATAGATAGATAGATAGATATTGTCACACGAGTAGCAATCATGTTTTGTCAGTGAGTTTATTTTACAATATTTAATTATACCAACTAACTTACCAAAGGTTTTGCAAAATAAACTCGCCATGCAAATAAATATTCTTGAAAATGTTATACTTGCAGAACACTAAAAAAGAGTGTGAAGAAGTGGGACATTAAAAAATATTTCTAGAATAATTTTTTTATAAAATCTATTTTATAAAAAAATTATTCTAGAAATATTTTTTAATGTATATATATCTTTTTTATAAAATCTATGTACTGCCCCAAACCAGTTTTAATAAGTAAAACATTATTTCCAACTCTGAATTACCTAAGATTGAAAGCAGCTTATAATTAAGTAAATGTTTTTTATTTTTAATTACCGTGTCATTGGGGTAAAGTTAGACAGATATAGGGTGAAGCGGATAAACGAGCAATTAACATAATATTAAAAAAAAAACTATTATTTAAAAACTGTTAAAAACGTAAACAACGCAATCTTTATCAAAATATTCACAATATAATCACAAAAAAGTGATAAGGAAAAAATGGGAAAGCAAATAAATTTTCTTTATTCCCTCAATTTACTCGTCAAAATATCGTTTTTTGGAGGTACTTTTTTAATTTACTTTTATAAATGTGGTTTTTACCACACACAACGATGTCTACTAAATCAAAGGGAAGAAATCTCATTGTTTACATAAAATAACATTCAATAAGGATCTTTCTCAATTGGTATTTTTAAATATTTTTCTTTAACTTCTCCCACGTCTTACTTCTCCCCACTCTCCCCTACACATTTGCAATAACTCTATCCGTAAAATTTTTTTTATATAAGTAAAAAACAATATATAATATTAATAATATTTTAAAAAATGGATTGGTATTATAAAATACAAGCTACATAAAATTTTTTTTTTTCACCTATTTAAAATGTTTTTTGTTAAATTGCTATATGAAAGCCATCTTGCCCCAGCCGTCATCTTTCCTCATTTTTCTCTGTTTGAATAAATAGTCTTAAACTTATTTATAAAAGCAAGTTTTAAGCAATAGTTACAGACAACCATTCAATAATTTTTTTACATAATAATTTAATAATACTTTTGTATTATTAAATTATTATGTAAAAATAATTTAATAAACAAAATGTTTTTTTCATATATATTTAAAATTTGTTGGCGTACTTTTTGAAAAAGTTAACAATGCGTTTGCGCAATGCGTAGAAAAAAGACCGAGGAACTTTTAGTTTTTTAAATCTTGTTTGCTTAATAAATTTTGTGCAAAAACTTCATGTAGAATTTTTTAAAACAGCGCTAAATTTGATCATCTTACCAAATATAGTCAACACATTCATTTTAACTGTTTTTTTATTTCATCGTACTAATGTAAATCTTGTTTTTCATATATATAGGAACCAATCTTTTACGGTTGGTAAAAAAAACAAACAATTTTTCTTATAAAATTAGTTTTTAATTTTCATGAATAGTAGAAAAAAAAAATTAATTTATAAGAATTATATAAGAACAGTGAAATTATTTAAATAATAATAATTATTAAAAAAGTATATCTTTAAAGAAATACACCTTTTCTTCAATTGGACTAAAAAGAAGAAAATAATTTTTCTTTAGATTTGACCCTTTTGAGCTTAATTTTATAAAACTGTTTGTTAGAAATTTAAAATTTTTTACATCTTCTAAATTTATTTAAACGCAAGAACACTAAAAAGGTTACACGTTAGCTGAGGAGAAAATCAAAAAATTAGAACAAAAATGCAGATAAAACAATTTATATAAAGAAAAGCTCCACCTGTTCAGTGTTCTTGTGTTTCAATAAAGATGTAAAAAATTTAGAATTTCCAAAAAAAAAGTTTTATAAAATTCTCAAATGAGTCAAAAAAAATTATCTTCTTTATTTTAGTCCAACCGATGAGTCTTTCATTTTTTAGGATTAACTCCTACTTCCGATCTTTCTTGGAAACCATACATCAAATTCGTTGCAAAATTAGCATCTGCTAAAGTTGCATCTCTTTATCGAGCTCGACACTTTCTTACTCTGGATTCTATTCTCTATCTCTATAAATCTCAAATCCGGCCTTGTATGGAATACTGTTGCAATATCTAGGGCGGATCTTCTATTGACGGCCTTTCTCTTTTAGACGAGGTGCAAAAACGCATTGTAAAAATAATTGGACCTGCTCTTGCAGCCAATCTTCAACCATTATCACATCGTTATTATGTTGCTTCTCTTTCTCTTTTCTACAAATACTATAATGGGCACTGCTCTAAAGAGCTAGCGTCTCTTGTGCCATCTACTAAAATTTATTCTCGTGTTACTCGTCATTCAATTAAGTCTCATCCTTTTTCTGTGGCTGTTTCTAAGTGCTCCAAAAACACTTATTCCTCTAGTTTATTTTCTTGGATATCAGTTGTTTGGAATTCGCTTCTTTCATCTTACTTTCCTGATTTATATAATTTGCATTTAACGATTGACATTTAAGTCATCTGTCAATCGTTATCTTGCTCTACAATCTTCATCTTTTCTCTTCAAGTAACTTCTAACTCTATTTAGTGGATACTTGCAGCCTTGTTGGAAGCGAAGATGTTAAAAAAAAAAAAAAGAAACTGACGAGAAGGTGTACTTTTTAAAAAAAATTTTTTTTACAATTATTATTCCTTAATTAGTTTTACTTTTCTACTTTTTCTTAAACTTATCGATTTTTTCCATTATATTAATTTTGTTATCAATTTCACGATATTTCCGTGTAATATAATTCACGCTATTTTCGTGTAATGTAGTTCACGATATTTCTGTGTAATATATTTTCTTAATCACTTAAAATTACTCTTAAAACTTTGTTTAATTGCAAAGTGTTATACGAGTAATGTTACATTGTAAAGTGCATTTTACTCGTAATGCTACATTGTAAAGTTACTCGTAATGCTACATTGAATATAAATAGAATATGCAAAAGAAAAATGCTATCAGAACCGGTTTATTACATGGCAATGCCAAGTTTAGTAAAATCCTAATAAAGGATTTCAACATATTCAACACTTTTTTTGTTTAAATTGCATAGCAACTTGAAGAATTCTTAGTGTTATGTTAAAAATTTTATGTAATCAATTCACCTGGGAATATTTTTAGCTGCAAATTGAAATTTAATAGAATCGTTTAAACAGCTGTTGACAAACATAATTTAAAAAAACAACAACATGAAATTACTATTGTTTTATTTTAATATTTATTTAGCAGTGTTCTTTTAATAAATACGGGAAAGAAAAAATTATTTATTAATTAAGAAGCATCTAATTGTGTTATACCTACAAAAAGTTATACTTCTTTTGGCTTAGTTATGATTTGGGCAGGTTTACTTGTTTCAGTGATAATTGTTTCTGTGCTTAGCCAAGATTCAGGTAGATTTATTTTCTTTAAAAGTTGGATTTTCATATTGCTATAAAGCATATTATGTTCTATTAAATATAAAGTTAGATTTTCATATGCTTTACGCAACATTTTTTTAATACTGTTCAGGATTCTAGGATTTAAGGTTTATGGGTTCATTGCTCTTGGTTTTCAGTTTTTATCCTACTTTTTTAATCGTAATTAAGAAAAATAATGAGTAGTTGGAGTTTTAAGTACATTAAAAAAAAAAAAACAAGACCATTTTAATAAATGCATCAAAGAATGCTTTATATAGTTAGTAACTTAGTCAGAAAATGCATCTAAACACTGATTACTAAGCAAAAGAGTTTTTTTTTTTTTTTTAAGTTGATTAAGGTGCCTCAAGAAGTCCTTACGGTCTTATCACAGAGCACCGCGGAAGAGCATTTAATAGAGAGTTCACGCCTCCTTCCCAACCAATGTCGCCAAACGTGCCCAGAGGTGGGGTTTGAACAACGGATCTTACGTTTTTGAGACAAGTGCGCTACCACTGCGCCACAGCTGCTCTTAATGCTGGTGCGAGTTCTCAAAATTTATTTTTTTAAAACTACGTTAATTGTTTTGATTTTTAAACGTGCCCAGAGGTGGGGTTTGAACAACGGATCTTACGTTTTTGAGACAAGTGCGCTACCACTGCGCCACAGCTGCTCTTAATGCTGGTGCGAGTTCTCAAAATTTATTTTTTTAAAACTACGTTAATTGTTTTGATTTTTAAATATCAATTTAAATGCAAAAATGTTTATATATAAGAAAAACTTTTGATCTTGTTAAAGTGCGAATTCTTGGCGAATTTTGTTAAATGATCAACTATACACCTAATAACGCTAAAAGCAGGCTTCTGAAAATTAAATATTTTGGCTTTGTATGAAATAATTTATAGTTTGATTATTAATAAAATTAAAAATATTATTGAAATTAGATATTCATATTCAAAAAAATTCATATCATTTATCTTATACTTTTATATGACGAAAAAAATATTATTTTTATATTCACAGTTCCCGGTAATTTTCCCCGCCCACCATTTGAAATACACCGAAGGGCCAGGGGCACGTGACGTACAACACGTACAACACCGAAGGGCCAGGGGCACGTGACCCCACTTTTTTTCTAGAGGGCCCTTTTTTTTTTAGAAAAGATTTTTTAAAGATATTTTTTATTAAGATATAGAGGACTTTTTTCACAAACTAATGATTATCCTAATATAACTGGGACAAAAAAATTCGAATAATAAAACAAAAAAAAAGGGGAGGGGGAATCCAACGCTATCAAAATTAGTTGTTTGGCGATATTCAAAGAATTAAAGAGGTACTAAAATATATTCTTATAGATCAATTGTATTTTTTTTTAATTCGACCTGCTTTTGCAAATTTTGGAAGTTTAAACTGTCATAGTTTGTTAATACTTACAGTTTGGATTCTACAGTGGATACGTCCAACCAAATTTGCTTATCCGTCCACAAGTGAAAAAATATGCTCTACATTATATTATAAGGCAGAATATAAAAAATATACCAAAAAAGTTAAGGATATTCCTCGAAGTTTTCACAGTCTTTAAAAATGTCAAACCGTCTCTCGTAAGAAAGCATTTTCAACTTTTCCATTTCATCCATTTTTCAATCTTTATTAATTTTTTTTTATTCATTTGTTAAAGAGAAGAAAATCATTTCTATTATTCTATAACTGAGATACTTAATGGTAGTTTCAACATTTTCTCATGCAGGTACACTCCCAAGAAGGTACGGATTTGTATATAACTTTCTTATAAAAATATGATATATTAATGGGAAACCTTGATATAATTGGAAAGAACGCGATAAACGTTTCAAAGCATAATAAAAACAATATTTCATTTCTTATCCAGAATATTAAAATTTTTGTTCTAAAAAATAGAATTCCAAAAGAGATTTTAAAATGTTCAATTAAGTTCTGGAACTCAAAACGATAAAGAGAATTCTTCATAGGTATTATTGAACAAAAATTAGCTTTTTTTCTTCAATAAAACCCTTGCTTATCATTTTTCGAAGAAAATATTAAAGAAATAATCTTCAAAGATGGTTGTATTTTATTATATTATTTTACAAATATAATAACAACAATCGTTGTTATTATATTTGTAAAAAAATACATGCATTTGACTATAAATAAAAAGAGAAAAAACGAGAAATTAAAACCAGATAAATATTTTAAGTATTCTTTCGACTGCAATGAAGAGAACGCGTGCTTGAATGATGCAAAATCTTTTTTTTCGTTTCCACTAAATTAAAAAAATCTATAAGGTTTTTAGCCCTCGTGGTATAAATTAAAATGTATGTAAATATTTTTACACCCATGGTTTAAATATCCATGATGTGCGCCTGGCAATTCAAAACTAGCACATTTTTGCTTGATTATTTTAAGTTATATCGTAAACGTTACATTTACCGTTGCTTCAAACAAATCCAAAGTTATAATTTGCATTATTAGTGCAAAACTTGTTTAAGTCTACTTTGAATAAATTTACATTGATTTAAATTCTCTTTGAGGACAAATAATTTTTTTTTTTTCGACACTTTTTTCCAGTGAGCAAATCCAGGTTTTTCGAAATCCAGAACCAATTTATTCAAAATATTATAGTGCTAAAAACTTTGTTTTAATTCAGCAAAAAGATTAATTTACGTAAGACCCACAGCGTGGTTTTTTGAGAGGGTGATTCATATTGGTAAAGCTGTTCTATAAATATTACTAAAAAAACTGTTTTTATAATAAACAATAACTAATAAAAGAGATATAGACAAAAATGTATAAAAAACCATTTATGACCACCTGTACGGATTCGTGAAAACAGCATCGCTAAAAAATGAGCTTGTCGACTTCATCAAATTCAGACAATTTTTTCACACGTGTACGAAAGTTGAAGTTAAATTTTTTTGAAAAGTTTTTGGATTTATGATTTTGCAAATTTTTGTATTCAATTTTTTTGAAGGTGTTTAACTCGTTTAAACTCAAATGTTTAAACTCGTTTAAACTCAAATGTTTAAACTCGTTTAAACTCAAATGTTTAAACTCGTTTAAACTCAAATGTTTAAACTCGTTTAAACTCAAATGTTTAAACTCGTTTAAACTCCGTGGTTCAAACCTCTTCTCGGAGCAAATTTTGTGACATCGGTTAAGAAGGAGGCGTGAACTTCCAATTAAATGCTCATCCGCGGTGCTCTGTGATAAGACTGTAAGGACTTTTTGGGGCGTTTAAATAAAATTAAAAAAAAAAAATTGTAAATAGAATTTTAGTAAGATTTTTCCATTTTCTGCGATATTAATTAGCAAACATATGGTATTGGGCTTTTTTAAAACAAGTGTTGTTTTACTTTTTATGCAATGGAAATTGTACAATGAAATAGAGCATTAATTTTTTTAATGTAATATTTTTTTAAATTTATATTTGTCTTTAATTATATCACAAAAAATGTCAAAGTAATTAATTTTTTTATTACAGTCAGTGCCGCATTTATGGCTACTAAGTCTTTAGGCATATGAATTATCGTCTATCTATAGTTAGCAATAAAAGTTAAAACAGTAATTATTTACAGTAAAAATTGTTCAGTAAAGTCTGTTATTTTTGTTTACTTAATGATTTCATTTACTTATTGTTTACTTAATGATTTTTCTTTACTTATTGAAGAAGCAAAAATATACTTTTAAAGTAATAATAGAAAAGATTACTTTTTATTATGCAACGTAACGACAGTTAAGTTAGGCAAAATGAGTTGCGATGTCTTTGCGACAATCGTTGCTTAAAATTAAACCTATCGTTGTTTATTTTAAACTAATTATAATTCAAAATTTATGAGGAGAGCTGAGGTGATGCAATTAATTTGACCATTTTAATAATATCTTCTGCCATACTTTTATAGTAGTATTAACTATATATGTATAATTATAAAAACTTGTGCTATTAATAAAGTTTATTACACTTAAATATTTTAAGCAGTGACAGATTCAGGATTTTTTGGTGTTTTAAATAGCTAACTTCCAGATATGGAGCAAACTCCAAACATTTGTATGTTTATACTTAAATCAAATAATGAAGCTTTGCAAAAAATTGCTGGGGATAAAAGCTTAGAGGTTCGCAAAGCACATTCCTATATGCCCCACATATTATCCTGCGAGCATGTTTTTGTTTGCTTCAAATTTTTTTGAGTTTAGTGTGACCAGTGCTATTCCAGGCAGTGTTACAGTAAAAATTATAGCTGTGTATAAACAAATTTTTATTTTTTATTAAGATTCATTTTTAAGAAACGGTTTTGTTCGATATAACATGATATAACATGTTATATCGAACATACTTTTTGAGATCTATAACATTTTTGATCTATAACATTTTTGAGATAAACTTATCAGTTATTATTATAAAGCCATTTATCCTTCAGCCAATATCGTTGTTGTTAGTGACTTCAATGCTCATCAGACTCAACGGGTTAGTTCTAGTATCAGTGACTCCCCCTAACACAAACAGTGTTAACAATAATAACTGACAAGTTTAATTGTGCATTAGATGTGGAGAAGTTAAGGCTATTGCTCTCAACATTTCTAAAGCTTTTGATAAAGTTTGGCATGCTGCTATTCTCCATAGGCTCTCTTCTTACTGTGTAAGGTATAACTTTTTTAGACTGACAGCACTCTTTTTCATTTTCTGTGACTTCAGGGCTTCCTTAAGATTCTATCCTTGGCTCTCTACTTTTTTTAATTTACAATAACGATCTCTCAGGAATTCTCACAAGGTGCCATCATTCACTGATGATACTACCATTTATTCTTATCCTGATTGTTTGGAGGGGGCATTTGAGCTTGAAAATGAGCATGGGTTTCTCAGTGGCTGGTGAACTGTAACTCAGATAAAGCTCGATTTTACAGCTGATTGTTATTGCTCAGTCTTGATCTTTTTTTGAAACCATATATCAAGTCCACTGTAAAATTAGTACTTTCTAAAGTTGCATCTCATTATTGTGTTCGTCATTTCCTTACTCCAGATTCTATTCTTTATCTCTATAAATCTCAATTCCATTTTTGTATGGAATACAATTGAAATACTTGGAAAGGATCTTTGAATAATGCCTTTCCTCTTTTAGACAAGGTGCAAAAAGGTATTGTAAACATAGTTAGACCTCTTGCAGCCAACCTAAAACTTTTTCCTAACGCATACAACACTAATAATAGATTGTTTTGCATCAATTATTTGGTGTGGTAGTGACAAGTACAAATCCAATGCTTGGGATTCTACATGTAATAACTGTGGGGAAAAAAAATGCTAAATAGCTTTCTGTCTTAGTAACTAATTAAATCAAAACAACAACATAAAGTAAAAATAGCAAAACACCTACAAAGAGTGTTTACAACACATTACAAAGGTAACAACATTGATAAAAATTCACAATTTTTGTTTCTCAAATTTAATTATCAGGCCTTATAAATGCATTAATTAATAGAATACCAGTGTCAGCTGGTATTTTATTAATCAACTATTGACATTGGCTCTGAAACAGTGTTACTATGTTGCAGGGTTACAAAATTTTTTAAAAATTGTGTCTGTACTTAAATACCAACATAACAAGCATCTTATCTCTTTGTTTAATCATTTGAAGCAAGTTGCGTTGGCCTAACAAAATAGACTGGTCTTCCTCACCTAGTTTTTTTTCTTTTAGCCGATTTTGATTTAATTTTTATTTTAAGACAATAAACTTTTTATTTATATTAAAGTTATTTGAACTCGCTGGATCATTAAATTCATTTTTTAGTCTGTAAATCTTTTTATTTTTTTTGTTTTTTATTTGTTACTTTTTATAATTTATTTATTCAGAAATAGTTTTATAATAAAAATAAATAAAAGATAAAAGTATAAATAAGAATTACAATTTTCAATATGTATTGTAAGAACACAGAAAACATAAACTATACTTAAAAAAAAAAAAATATTTAAACACAAATAAATATAACGTATATTAATACACACATTTGCATAAATATCTATACAAGTAAATTCATATTTATTATATTATCTATACAAGTAAATTCATGTCAAAATTATACTAGTAAATTCATGTTTCTATAGTATGTTTCTTGCTTTAAAATTTTAATTTCTTGAAAATTTTAAATGCTTTATAAAGAGGATTTTTATATACGAGCGAGGTTAGAGGTCATTGTATAGAGTTAAGTTTTATAAGAAGCCCTATATTTATATCTAGTAAGTCTAATAACATTTTTTACTTAGTGGTATTAAAACAACATTAAATACTTTCTTCTGTTATAACTTGTTAACTTTTTCAAATATATTTAAAGTTCTATAAGACCTATATTATTATTTCTATTAATTTCTAATTAGTATATAATTTTTATTTATAGACAGTACTTATCAAAAACTAGGATGTTATAGAGAAACTTCTGAAGGTGTAATTTTATTTAATCTGAGAGACATAATTGAATGGAGAAATTTTCCTACATTTACAAAAAGGTTGGTTTATTACATTACTGTAAGTAATTATTAGCTAAAGTATCTAGATTTTAATAACTAGATTAACCCTTTTTTTTATTTAAACCATATCGCACCTATGTAAAATATCTGCATATAAATCACAGCCATAATAAAGAGGAAAATATAAATTTTACAGCCTTAGTAATGTGTTTCCAACACTACAACATTAAAAGAATGTCAATAAGTCAAAATGTGAACATTTTATATTAGAGCAGTATTTTATTGGGACTACAAATAAGTTTCGTTTTTTTCAAAAGATGGCTTGTATTACACTTGTATTATATTGTGATATAATGACATCGTTAACAATATAATGCAAATGGAGCCATCTTTTGAAAAAGCTAGAAACTTATTTGTAGTCCCAATAAAATACTGCTCTAATATAAAAAGTATGTATGTATATATATATATATATATATATATATATATATATATATATATATATATTTATATATATATATATATATATATATATATATATATATATATATATATATATATATATATATATATATATATATATATATATATATATATATATATTTCAGGCTTTCCCAGGAAAGGCGTGCGGTCGCACACCTTGTTTGTCCACGCATAGAATAAATTTTTCTGACTAACTGACCACGTTTTATTATTATGCGTTTCAAGAATTCACGGCAAAACAAAGCTAAACGAAAATACCCCAAAAATGCAAGCAATCTTAAAGTAAATAAAAGAAATCTGTTTGTGCTTTCAAATTTAAAAATTAATGTATATTATTAAAAAAAAGTTTACCTATATTTTATTTATTTTTTTTGTTTTGTTTTTTAGGGCGGTAGTTATTTTAGCTATGAAAAATCAAATCAATAAAAAAAATAAAATCAATAAGAAAAATCAAATCAATAAGAAAAATCAAATCAAAAAGAAAAAGATTATTGTTTAATGAAAATAAAATGACCTTTTAATGTAAAATTTGTTTATGACTTTTATCAGTCAGTAATACTTTAAAATTCACGATAGAACTTTAATTAATTTTTAAATGTTTTGTAAATACATTTAAATGTTTAAATGTATTGAGACGCAAGAAAGCGTGAAAACGATTGCTATTTATTTGTAAAATATGTTTTTTTTTCAATTTTTAAATGAAAGAAAATTTGATTAGGTTGCTTATTTTGCAATCATTAATTGACATTGTGAATGAGTGTTAATATATAATAATGTCCCGAAGGAACTGTTTTCGTAACAATGACAACAGAAGCAATGCAATTATTTTTTTAACTTCTTTCGTAATTACAAAATTATGCAATTGAATAATTTCAATGTAATAAAAGGCGAGCATTGACTCAGTATAATCAGTTTAGAATAAGTCGAGAGAACTTTTTTCACATTAAACTTTTGTTATCTTTAAAATCTCAAATAATATATTTAATAATTAAAACAGCAATTTATTTTTTTGTCTAAATATTGGGGAATAACGTCATCGCCTTTGCAAAAACCTTCGTGAAAACTAAATTAAATGAAAAAATTTAATCAAATTTGTCTAGCATAAATAATGAATCAGTTTTTTAATATATTATCTGATAAAGTTAGTGAATAATTTACGTATCAAGTCTTTTTATTTTTGTGAAAACTTTATGATTTATTGTCGCCTTTTCCTTTACTTGTATCAAATTTAGTAGCTGAAAATAGCAACCCTAAAAAAAGAAAACAAAAACAGTAAAAAAATTTTGAAAAAAATGTTCAGGACTTTTTTTTTTTTTTTGTTAGAAGATTTTTTTTTTTTTTTTAATTTTTTTTTTTATTATTAAAATATTTTTCTTACATCCAATTTCAATTTTATACTTTGTTTAGACTTCGTTTCCTTTTTTTAATATTATATTTTATTCTCTGTGGATAAGTTCTGCTTTCCCACGAAATATTGCCGCGGTCACGTTTTCTGAAAAATTTATTCTATGCGTGGACAGCAAAGGCGTGCGACTGCACGCCTTTCCTGTGAAATCCTGATATATATATATATATATGCAGGCCCGGCAAAATCAAATCATAGAAAAGCGCTGTTGAAAAACAGCGCTTTTCTATTACCTGCGCTTTTTAAAAAGGGTTCAAAACTTTTTTAAAAAGGTTTTTTAAAACCAATTTAAAATACTTAAAAAAATGGCATGTTTAGTACCTCAACTAATCAAAAATAACCAGAACGTCGTCACTTTTTTAATAACCACATTGCAAATCTTTGGAATAAAATAGCGCAGGATGTAATTAATGTACCTACAGTAAACTCTTTTGAAAGAATTTTTAAGATGCAGCGTGGAAAATAATGGCCGGTCAACAGTCAATGACCGCCTGAAATGACTAAAAATGCTATTTTGACCTCCCAAAATAAATTCTTGCTGGTCATGATTGACCGGTTAATTAGAGATTTAAAACAAGGTTTGACAAAAAATCAGGATGTTATTTGGAAAATTCATATAATAAAATTTTGATAAACTATTTTAATTTTGAAACATGGTTTTAAATAGTTTTCTTGTTTATGATACGCTACTTTAATTGCTAACGGGTCGTTGAAGCAAAAAGTTTGAAAGCGAATAGAAGTTTAAGCGAATTTTTTTATAATTTTTTTATTTTGGTTTTATTTTTTAATTTATTTTTTATAAATATAATTCAAAAAATTAAAATTAAAAACTTATTAATAATTTATATCAATATAATTCAATAATTAAAAGTTAATTTATTAATAATTTAATATTATTAATTCCGCTACTTATAATATATTCGAGTATATATTTCTTGTAACAGGATTATTAAAAAATATATTTATAGATTTATTAAAAATCTCATTTTATGTAAATTTAATAATTTTTATAGCGTTTTATTAAACAAATTATTGTTTTAAAATTTGTTTCATTAAACAAATTCTTTTATACAAAGAAGACGAATGTTTGGAAATATTTAAAGTATTAAACATTCAGTTTAAACAATTTAAGTTGCAAACAAAAAACACCAGAGTAACACCAAATAAACACCTGAGTAACATTTTAACTAATTAACGTTGTGGTTTTTGAAATGTTTTTAATGAGTAAGAGATATAAAATGTGTGAAAGTTTTTATTTTTAATTGTACTTTTTTTTTCATTTAATCATTTCTATTATTTTTTGTTTGGCTTTTCCCACCATTTGCATAGTCATTGCAATGAAATAAATTATTTTTAAAAGTTATAAATTGCCTGTTTGCGCTTTTAAAAAAAAACATTGATTTTATTTAAAATTGTTATTATTAATATAATTTTTATATTTTTTTATATAGCCATATTCCTTCAAGCCTTGACTTTTTTTTGGATTTATAAAGTTTAGTCTTAAAGAACGGCTCAGGGTCAAAAAAAATGTTACTGATTTCTATTAGCAAACTTTAACTATTAGAATAAATTTTTAATAAAAACTTTTTTTAAATATATTTAAATAAACTTGAAAGTATTAAAATTATTAATATTAAATTGTTCATAAAATATTTATTTATTTTGCAATTTAAATTTAAAATTTTTTTAAAAAACGACATTAAAAAAAAAAAGATAAAAAACAAGTTATATTATATTATAAAAGAACAAAGTAAATTCGTTTTACCATCTTTTCGATTAAACGACCCGTTTGCCAAGATTACTAAGGTTTAAACAAAGAAAAATAAAAAAAAGTTTTGACCGTCCGAAAAAAACAATTGACCGTCAATTCCTTGAGTTGGCTGGTTAAATTGACCACTGGCCTTTAATTCCTTATTTTCCACTCTGTGATGCTACTTCAGCTGCAGCAATATCAATCGTCAGCATATAAATGCCTGATGTTGCTTTCCTTCATCAACACTGAACTTTAAAACAAAATATCTATCAAACATAGATGTTAAAAATGAATCAGATACATCTCTGTTGTAAGATGGCATAGTAATAATAACAGTTTTTGTGAGTGTTTTCAATATTAATTTCAAAAAATCTGTTAATTAATCCTAAATAGTGCATGTATTGCAAAAGTGTTGTTTAATCCAGATAAGATCCACATTTTAAAAAAAATTTGAATAATATTTAACAGTATTAAAAATAAAAACACAATCATTAACTTTTCCATGTTTTTTTTAGTTTAAAAAAAGCATGCTTATATTATATATACCTAATTGCTGCTATCCCCAATTGTCATAAAAGCTCTTGGCAGTCCTGATCATGCATAGGCAATATCTTACTAACTAATCATTGACATTGTCTAAAAGTATTGTTTTTGAAAAGTTGTATTTTCAAAATAAAATAATTATAACCTTATTTCAAAAAATTTGTATAAAAATGTCTTAACTACTGCAAATTTTCACACATTTGTGGAATATGCTGACACTATTATAAAAATAATTCTTTAGAATTGATTACTTCTGCTTTTTTTTTAAAAAAAAATTAAAAAGGGGAGGTAAAAATTTACAGTAGTCTAGACATTTGCTACTTCCTGTAATTTAAATTTTTGGTATAAATTGAAGTTTTATTAATTTGATCATTAGTTTGTGACGAGTCTTTATTGATGAAACACAGTGTTGAATGAAAAAAAATTTTGTTAAGTGATTTTCTACTACTTTATAATTGCTCTGTTCTTTTAAGAACATTGAGCATTCTGTTTTTTGAATACATTTAAAAATTTGTTTAAATATATATATATATATATATATATATATATATATATATATATATATATATATATATATATATATATACATATATATATATGTATATATATATATTATATATATATATATATATATATATATACATATATATATATGTATATATATATATTATATATATATATATATATATATATATATATATATATATATATATATATATATATATATATATATATATATATATATATATATATATATATATATATATATATATATATATATATATATATATATATATATATATATATATATATATATAATGCGGTAGTGGTGTAGTGGTAGAGCGCTCGCTTCAT